GACAACTCCCACCTGTTCATGCTCTCTGTATGTGTGTATATAGATCTCCTCAATATATGTTCCATTCTATGCATCCGAAGAAGTGGGCTGTAGCCCACGAAAGCTTATGCTCTAATAAATTTGTTAGTCTCTAAGGTGCCACAAGTACTCCTGTTCTTTTTAAGAATTGCATAATATGCAGCAGATGCTACCACATTTAACTATCCAATTTCAGAACAGAGCTGCATGGAAAAAATGGAATCACCTCCAAAAAAACAGTGTGTGGGGGGGAAAGCATCATTTTGATAGTTTCACTTTGAATTCGCACCGCATTCCATAAAAACAAGCTATGATTAGCAAAGTCAAAAGAAATAAGCAAAACTGTTTTTGCTGGGAAAAATGGCATGATTTCTGTGTGGAATTTATCTAGACGCACATACTACCAAGTCCTGCATTCCTCCATTAAAATACAAGTGCAACATTTGTATTCTAATAGATCTGCAGGTGCTTGTTAGAGGACCAATGCAAAATCCGCCAAACATCACCAAAACATTTAACGGCTTTATGCAGTCTATACCATGCTGGCCAATGCTGTCTCATCGTTTCCTTGTACTCTCCCATCTGTCTGTCTGTATCCATCTGTGGTCTCTTGTCTTAAACTTAGATTGTCAGCTGTCTGGGGCATGCACCTGTCTTCTTGTTCTGTAATTGTACAGCACCTAGCATAATGAGGTCCTGGTCTATGACCAGGTCTCCAAGGCATTACAGTAATACAAACAACAAATAATCACAACTGTTTGTAGGATCAGCCCCTTAATGTCTGTGTGGTAAATATGCACTATAATCCCCATTTTACAGATGGGGAAAACAAAGAGAAAGATAGATGACGTACCCAAGGCCATGCAGCAAGTCAATATCAGAATCAAGATTAGAACTCAAAATTTACAAGCAGCTTTTCTACTGCATTCCTATGCAGCTGGCCCCAGCATCACCCCCTGCATTTTGCCCATAGGAAGGAGAAGGGGAGAGACACAGCCAGAGTGTACTGTACTCTGGCAATCTCCAGCTGCTCTAAGGTTCCTTGGGGACCATTGCCATCTGGAGTAGTATCCAGCAGCCCCTAGGCTGCTCTAACTTACTTGGGACCAGTGCAGATGAACCCATGGAATCAAGGAGCTATCGTGGGATCCCTGTGTGCCCCAATCCACAGTGTTGTCCAGCTGACAGCACAGAAGAGAATCTGATCCACAGTGTACTGTGTATCTACTGAGCATGACCTCTATGTTTAATAATGACATTTTTATTCTGAATCAGGGTGGCTTTATGTTTCTCAAAGAACAGTTTACCCCATGGTATAGGGAGTAGGAGGACAGAGATTTTTTAAATGAGGGAGGGAATTTGGTGGCAAAGAATTGAACAGAAGGGAGCAGAATTTCAACTAAAAATATCTCCCTTTTAATCATCCCTTCACTCCGATGAAAGGGAACCCTAGGGTTACAGGAAACCAGAAGAGTTAAGCATGGCTAACATACAACAAAGATATGCATATCTTTAACCAGTTTACGTGAATGGGGAGAAATAAAACCAAATGCAGTATAAGCGGGGCTTACGGCCCTAGTAAATCAAGAGTTTTCTATGCTAATGAGGGACTCATTAGATAATTCTGATGACAGCTAAAGTAGAGAACATACTGATATGGTAAATTATGGCAGTTATTTTTTGTTACATATTTAGTGCAGTCCTTTGCTTCACGTCTGTACACATCCCCATCTTAAAATGACCATAAATTCTCAGAAATCAAAGAAATAAGCATGTATCTAGAGGGCAGGGCTGAGCAAAAGGCAGAATTTCCATCACACAGGAAATTCCAGTATTTCAACATTTGTGTTTATCCCAGATTGAGACAGACAGCTGAAATATCAAAATTTTTCATGGAACAAAATATTCCAAAAGATTTTATTCAGAAATATTGAAATATTTTGTTTTGACAATTTCAGTCAAAACACAATATTTTGACATTCTTGAAATCAGAATGTTTCAGTCTGGTTTTTAAACTGACCCGGCATATTTTGTTTTGAGAAACTTCAACATTAAATTGCATTTCCCAGTTGCGGAGCAGTGCCTCCTGAGAGTTATTGATCACCACTCACCTCCATGGGCCAGGCTCCCTGGACAAACTACATCTCCCATCATGCACCAGCAGTCATGTGACTCCAATGAAGCAGCACTAAGCTTGGTCAGACTTGAATCTGAGTTGCATTATGAGCAATGTAGTCCTTCAGGGAGTCAAAGCCATGGGAGAGACTAGGGACCCGAACTACAGTTCCCTTGAGGCAATATGCCATGATGGGAAATGCAGTTTGATATTAACTGATTTGAAACATTTTGGGTCAGTTCAACTAAACGAAATATTCCGATCTGTGTCTAACTGACCTCAAATTAATTGTTTGATTTTCCCAATTGAAAAATCAAAAAATTTTAGGAGAATTTTGATTTAGCAGAAATTGCCTTGTGCATTGAAAAATCATTCTGATGGAAAATTCCCAACCAGATATGCTACAATGCACTATGGAAGACAGAGGTCAGGCAGGATTACCATATTTTAAGTTTCCCAAAAGAGTACAGTGCTGGAGTACGGTGACCACCCATCCCGAAGTGGGTGGGACAGTCCTGCAATGCAGAGTTCAAGTCCCGGTCTTGGGCTGAATGACTCTGGGACAGTATTTGTCCTGGATGCCCCACGGTGCTGCTCCACACCTGCCCAAGGCTCAGAGGTAGTGCCAGGCTCTTCCCGGCTTAGGCCTTAGCCCCCCCACTCACCACAAGGCCCCGCCCCTGCCTCTTTCTCTCCCCTCTCCCCCACCCCTTGGCCAGGCCAGAAGCTGGAGCTAGGCAGTAGTAAGAGTCACCCAGGGAGCCTGGGCCACTGTCGGGAGCCCCAGCCCCTCCACCTACCCTGGGCAGTGCACTGGGTGGTGGGGACAGGATCCAGGGGCTGCTCTTGGGCACCTGGCCCCCCGCCCAGAGCAGGTGGAGGGTCCAGGTCACCCCACAGCAGCCCAGACTCCCTGGGCAGCTCTTACCATGGCCCGCCTCCGGCTTCCAGCCTGGCCAGGCAGCGGGGCCTCAGGGGAAGAGGAGGATCAGTGGGTAGGGCCACGGAGTGGGGTGCATGTATCCCGCTTTTGCCATTTGAAAAGGTGGTCTCCTTATGCTGAGGGGGGAGATGGGGAGAGGGAGCTGGAGCGGATACCTGCGGCAGGGTTACTCACTGGAGGTGGGGGGCAGTATCGTTCCCTGTCACAGTGGCAGGGTGACTGGTGCAAGCCCAGGATGCAGCGACAGCCATCAGTCAGTCCCTCCCTATGGTACCCTGCCCCATCCACAGAGCTGGGAGCCGCGCCTGGATGAGCAGGATCCCACAGTAGTGGATGCAGGGGCATGGACCAATCAGCTGTGGATGCAGGGGAGGGACCAATCGGGAAGCAGACCAATCAGGGCATCTTTCTGAGCTGCAATGTCTTCTCTGCAAAAATTCCAGACATTTCCTGTTATTTGAAACATCTGCCCAACAGAGGACGGAGCCTCAAAAAAGAAGCAATGTCTGGGAAAACCCAGATGTACGGTAATGTACTGCAGAGATGAATGTCAAGAACATTGCACAACTTCTGGATCTCTTAGTGTAAGTTTGGCAAAAAGGGAAGGAAATATGAAGGAGAAAACCATTTACATACATAATAAAATCATTAGGCTAATTTCATTAGTGAATTAAATATCAACATAATTTATATGTTGAATGCATATTGGTCCTAAAACTAGTTTAAATGGCAATGGAGAGTAATGGCATTGATTTAGCATTTGGTGGGTGCAAAGAGAGTTTAACTGATACACCCAGAGGCAAAGTGAGGGGTGGAGCAGGAGAAGGGTGTCAGATAGAGTAGACTCCTCTGCACAAATGAGGCAAGGAAGAGATTTCATGATGAAAGCCTTTGAGATGTCATGTCAGAAAAATACAGCAAACGATAGAGCATGATCCTCACTTAACCAGTATAAATCCATTCACATCAAGAGGTTACAAGCGTGTAAGTAAGAGGAGGCTCTGGTCCTAGCAATGTATCAGCTCCACTTTATACGACAGTAGCAGCATTTCTCTGGATACCTGTCTCTGGTTTTCCGTCTCTAGCCTCAGTCTTGCTTCTACACATCTTCTGGTCTCTAAGAAGGCTTGGCGCTGAGCTCTGTCTGATAGGTAGCTAATGAAGATTCCCGCTGTATTCATACACATAAATAACACTGCCTGAGCCGCTATCTGAAATAGACAAGAAAACAGGACTTTGATTAGACGACTGAGACAAAAATATCCATTTAAAAAGGAAAAAGACGGCTTAGAAGTCATGTAGGCTGTAAAACTAAACAGTTAAGAAAGTTAGTAGAAAAAAGTCTCTTGGATCTTAATTAAAGGTGTCAAACATATGAAACACACTCTGCCTGCAGGAAGAAATATGCACTATTTTGGGGGGCATTAAACTCTGGTTGAACCACGAATGATGCTTCCAAGAGCTGACTCACAAGGCGCTAGTCAAGCATGGTTACAAACACAATTAAGAATTTATTTTTCCATAACCCTGTCTGTAAAGGCAGTTTTGTGATACACTTCATGGCTTGGTGTGAGAAGTGAGCTACATAAAAAAGAACCACAAAAGGGCACATAATTATCCATTTAATTATGAATTATTGTTGTTACTGTATTAGTATTATTGACACTCGAAACAACCTCATTATCAGCTGATGACAACAAACTGGCACGCATATTTCTGAATAACAAAAAACCCAAAACACAAACCCAAAGTATAAACAAATACTTGCAACATGGCTGTGGTATAAACAGAGGTCTCACTTCATCCCTCCCACATAAAAAGGCTAAGAAAACATTCTCCTCTCCTATAACTGTGAACTACACGCTTTGTGCTAATGGAAGAAGGGGGCATCCCGGCTGCTTCCTCTTCTCCCCTCCAGGCATGCCCCAAGCTAAAATAAACTTTATGGAGTAGTGCCACAGCTACTGTGAATTTGTCTTTAACTGAGCTATGCTGATTTACACTAGCTGGGGATTTTGCCCTGTGAGCACAATTTACAAAGTCACTGTGCTTCTGCTTGTTGTCTCACTTTCCCCCGGACCGTCACAAACTAAACCCATGGATCTGGTCCTATTCAATAGTTTTGTTAATGTCTTGGATAATGGAGAGCAGAGTGTGCTTATAAAATTTGAGGATGACGCCAAGCTGGGAGGGATTCAGAGCACCTTGAAGGACAGGATTAGAATTTGAAACGACCTTGAAAAAATTGAGATTTGGTCTGAAATCAACAAGATGAAATTCAATAAAGAAAAGTGAAAAATACTTCACTTAAGGCTAGTCTACACTGGCAACGCTCAAGTGCCCAGCTCTCTAAAAAACCACCTCCACGAGGGACGTAGCTACGAATGCAGCTCCCGGCGCTGGTGCACTGTCTGCACTGTGCTTTACAGCGCTGAAACTTGCTGCGCTCAGGGGTGTGTTTTTTCACCCCCCTGAGCGCGAAAGTTGCAGCGCTGTAAATTGCCAGTGTAGACAAGCCCTTAAGAAGGAAAAATCAAATGCACAGCTACAAAATGTGGAATAATTGGGTAGGCAGTGGTACTGCTGAAAAGGATCTGGGGGGCATAGTGGGCAACAAATTGAATATGAATCAACCATGTGTTGTAGTTGAGAACGCCTATTATCTCTCTGGGGTATATTAACAGGAGTATTGTAGGTAAGAACAGCAAGTAATTGTAACATTCTCCTCAGCACTGGTGAGACCAGAGGTGGAATACTATGTCCAGTTTTAGAAGCCACACTTAAGGAAGATGTGGACAAATTGGAGAGAGCCCAGAGGAGAGCAACAAAAATGATAACAAGTTTGGAAAACATGATCCATGAGGCATAATTAAAAAAACTGGGCATGTTTAGTCTTGAAAAAAAGAAGACTATGGGGGGAGAGGGGGAAGGGGGAATGGACCTGATAATAGTCTTCAGATATGTTAAGGGCTGTTATAAAGAGGATGGTGACCAGTTGTTCTCCATGTCCACTGGATGCAGGACAAGAAGTAATGAGCTTAAGCTGCAGCAAGGGAGATTTAGGTTAGATATTAGGAAAAACTTTCTAATTATAAAGATAGTTAAGCAATGCATTATGCTTCCAAGGGAGGTTGTAGAGGTTTTTAAGAACAAGTTAGACAAACACTTGTCAGGGATGGTCTAGGTTTACTTGGTCCTTCCTCGGCATAGGGGGCGGGCCTAGTTACCTCTTGAGGTCTCATCCAGCTCTACATTTCTATGATTTTATAATCCCCTGATGGTAACCTAGGCAGGCCTACGTTTTTCAGTCACCCGTAACAGGTGCCTGTGTTTTCATCTAGTTTACCCAAATAACTTCTCCCTTTTCTTGAGAGAGTGTCCCTCTTTAAACTGCTACAGTCCTTTAATCCTCTTGTTCCCATATATATTCCCGTCTTGGCATTATCTCTTAATATCCCTTAATTGGTTGTGGAGAAGTGTTCATCCTGACCCATTCCTTTACCTTCCTCTTTGTTTTTCCTTATAGCCCCCCATTGAACTAAACCGATGGATCCATACTGCAGAGATATGTTTGTAGAAGATTTCAGTTTAGAGATGCTTCCTCATAAGGGCCAGTATTATGATCATAGGATTTTGGAGACCTGCCCTGGAGGCGGGAGTTGGGAACACCGCATGGCTGGGTGCAGCAGCTCACTACATAAGCTCTCCAGTTTGTTTTATTCAAGTTTTGTTTCTTTCTCATTCACTGGTTTGCTATTTAATGACCCCAAAGATGGTTACATGGTGTCAGAAGTGCTGAATGAGAAGGAAACCGCAGTCATTTTGAAGTTAACTCCTATGTTTGCAACTAAAAACAGAGACAAAGGGAAGCACCAGAGAAGCATGTGGGGCACCAGGCACGGAGGCTTTTGCATGTATTTGGTGAGCACAGTAGTAGCTTGACTAGCTTAAGAAAGAGAGGAAAAAAGACAAAAATGGATGTGTTGCAACCTCTTTCTTGTCTGCAATTGTCAGGCAATGTTGCAGAGAACTGGAAAAAATTCAAACAGAGATTTGAGTTATATGTAACTGCCATAGGGGCAGATGAGAAAAATGATAAAGTGAAATCATCTATCTTTTTGCATGTTGCTGGAGAGAAAGCATTGGATATTTATAACAATTTTAAGTTTGAAGAAGGTGGAAGCATGAAGTTAAATAAAATACTGAGTGACTAAATTTGAGGAACATTGCATGCCAAAAAGGAATGAAACCTTTGAGAACCATTTTTTACATGCATGCAAACAACTGATAACACCATTGATCAATATGTCACAGAATTAAGGAAACTCAGTAAAACCTGTGACTTTAGTGAGCTGACAGAGTCTCTGGTCAGAAATAGAAACATTTGTGGCATTAAAGACAATGTTTTAAGAGAGCAACTGCTCCATGAAGGAGACTTAACTTTAGAAAAAGCTCTCCAAATATGTGAAAGCACAAGTCAAAGAACTAAATTCACTCATGTTCTAAGTACAAAAGAATATAGCCAGAATAGGTCAAATCAAAGAGTGGAACCACTCACTATGAAAACCACTCTGAGGGGGAAGACTGAGTGCAGATGGATCACAGCATGGCCCCAAACTGTGTTGCCTTTGGGAAACTCTGTCATAACTGTGTGTGAGTGTGAGGGGGAGGAAATCATTTTGCAAAATGCTGTAGCTACCAAATGCAGAAAAGTCAAGTGCATCCCGCTCCACAAAGGTCTCAGGAGAAGGTCAGCACTGACTTCTTTACCTGGCAATCAAAGGATTATTTAATAGTCACAGATTATAATTCTCTGTATCCATAAATTTGCATACTGCACAGTACTAATAGTAAATCAGTGATAGCTAGGACGACCAGACAGCAAGTGTAAAAAATCGGGACGGGGGTCAGGGGTAATAGGAGCCTTTATAAGAAAAAGACCCCAAAATCGGGACTGTCCCTATAAAATGGGGACATCTGGTCACCCTAGGAATAGCTGGCATGAAGGGAATCTTCTCTAGATGTGGAATTCCATATGAAGTCTTTAGTGATAATGTGCCACAGTTTTTCCAGTGCAGATTTTAGGCAATTTGCCATAGACTGGGATTTTCATCACAAAACATCAAATCCAAATTACCCCCAATCAAAAGGTTTTGTGGAAAAGTCTATATGGACAGTAAATAATCTTATGAAAAAGACTTTTGAAAGTGGGGGTGATTTGTATAAAACATTACGGGTTTACTGAAGTACACCCCTGGAGAATGGCTTTTCTCCAGCTCAGCTGTTAATGGGAAGAAGGATCAGATCTAATTTACCAATTACTGATAACTTGCTGAAACAATGAAATCATATGGAAGATGAAAGAAAATCTGAAGTGGAAGCAGAAATATTATTTTGATAAAGGGCCTGAGGTCTCCCATCTCTTAACCCAGGTGATAGACTGTGCCTTAGGAATCACACCTCTAATACATGGGGCCAAAGAGTACCATTAAAGAACAGCTGCATCCAAGGTTTTATATAATCCGGACAGACCAGGGAGACACATTTCGACATAATCAAAGGGATTTACGAGTAATCCCAGAAAGTTCCAACACTTTGACAGTAGATGTGGACTCTGGCATTTCCCATCTGACTGATCCTTTATTGTCAGTGCACAAAAGAGAAACTGTCAATGAACAACAGAACAACTCACACTCTAATGAAAGGCTGATACTGAGAAAATCAGTGTGGGAGATTAAACATCCTAAAAAGACTCACAGACTTGCTAACCCACCTGGAGAAGGGGTAATTGAGGAAAGTGAGTGGTAAAGACCATGCTAGAGTGATATGCTAGTAACCTCTCCTCTCAAGGTTTATGGAAATATATTACATGGGTTGAGAATTTAATGCATGTGTTATAAGAGAGTTGTTAGCTGTTTGTATAAGATTGTAATCTGGAGATACTTCCTCATAAGGGACAGTATTATCAACATAGGAATTTGGAGATGTGCCCTGGAGGCGGGGGTTGGGAACACCACATGGCTGGGTGCAACAGCTCACTACAGAAGGTCTCCAGTTTGTTTTATTAAAGTTTTATTCCTGTCTCATTCACTGGTTTGTTATCTAATGAACCCCAAGATCATTACACAGTGAAAATCCCAATAACCGAGGATAATCATAAATTAATACAGACCAGTTCCAATTCTGTTACAATCCCTCCCTCTCCCGACTTGCACTCTCTTGGGGGCCGGG